ACTATTTTAGCATCATATGCTGGACAAATCTTGAGGACTTTAGAGAGTTCTTCGTAAAACGTGTCTTCTTCAGATGACACTTCAGTTGGTGCATGAAATTAATTATGGGGATATTAAAGAATTTTCCCTTAAAACTTAGGTAGCATAATCTAGGGGAGATGGGAGCAAACATAGTTACTAACTACCAAGCTCTTCCTCCGCCGATGAATCCGGTTCCATATATATGGTTGGTTTCGTGGCAGTTATAGTATACGGTATGGTATCTCTTTTCAAGGGTGCCACTTCCAAGCCATCGGACTTCCTGGATCGCTGCGATGTCAATGCGATATTTGTCAATTTGCTCGAGGAGCGCCCGCAGGGCTCCGAGTCTATATAAAGATAAAATGTTCCAGTAAAATGTAAAATGTAGGCGATTCTTAAGTCCATAAATCGTTTCCTGGTTTTATTCCGTAATGACAATCCGGCTATTTCTGCTTGTAGAGGTTTCGTAATGTTGAGTATTCAAGGGAAGTGGGTTATTAGCCCATTAACCCCGAGTCAGGTGGAGGGGATGCCTCCTCTGAGCCTCCTGACCGGCTCGTAGCGAGTTGTCAGGCTGTAGCCTACCTCATCGGTCTACCAGGCCTACCTCAGGCGTTTCCCGCCTGAGGTACAGGGAGCCACCTAACAACCCTTGCCTACACCTTCGCTTCTTCAACCTAGGGAGCTGGCCAAGGGATCTGGCTATCATTGGGTGCTTCCACTACTTACCAGACGAGTGGTCTCTGGCTAGTATCGGCCGTCAGGAGGCATTGTTATATTACGACTACAAATTGGAATTTGTATTTGGAAATTTGAATTGATAATAAATAAAATCAGTTAGAGAAAGATTTCTTTCTTTCATTTTTACCCCATAATCATTAAGCCTAAATGATACTGAAAACATTTAAAATATTAATTTAAAATTTAGAGTAAAATAAATACTTTACTTGCTGTATAATACAGCCATGTAGGAAAACTTTTGCTGCATTAAAATTCATATTTTATACTACAAATTGTATTAAACATATATATTGTGGTGATTTAATCCCACTCTTGAGGTGCAGCTTGAACTACTTTGTTAACCTGACTTGTAACCTTGTTGCCTTCTGTAAATTCTGTTGATGTTTTGTGCTAATAAAAACCTTTCTAAGGGTAAAACATTCGTTTTTCTTTCACTTCAATTTTCTTAGCTTAAAACAATGTTCTTTATTTGCTACGAGTCGTATCATTTAGAAATTCGAATCTTCGTGCAGGTAATAAATTCGAACATTCGGATCGAAATTAAAATCATGGGAGTGCGGTCGTTCGGTTTTGAGATTTCTTTAGTGTGAATTTGTGTTAAAACATTTTAAAAAATTTAATTCGCGATGGCCAAGTATCTAGAGCCCAAAAAATTCAGTGCAGTCCAGATTCGCCATCTGCTGGAAAGGAGTTCTCACATTGGCTGGAAACCTTCGAGAACTTCATCGCCTTATCCATTGAAGCATTGGAAGACGCTGACAAACTGAAGGTACTCCAAAATTTTCTTTTGTTCAATGTTTATGAACTGGTCTCAGAAACCACTAGATATATTGAAGCGATAGAAACTCTGACTAAGACCTATGTTAAGGAGAAATATTTGCATGTCACATTTTGGCTATGCGTAAACAACAGCAGAGCGAGAGTGTTGACCAATACATTCAAGCTCTGAGGCTGCTGGCAAAGGATTGTAATTTCAAGGCTGTTTCTGCTGAAGATCATAAAAACCAATATATTCCTGATTCTCTTATTAATGGACTGCTCTCTTCTCAAATCTGCCAACGATTACTTGAGGAGTCTAAAACATTGAGCCTGGATGACGTCATCCAACGCGCACAAGCTCTCGAGCTGGCCCATAACCAAACTGAAGTATACTCAAATGTCGCTAATGATTTCTCCTGCGCGGCAATTGGTAATGATCCGAAGTCATCACTTTCAATTCCTGGTACCTCCCACTCTGGTGCACAATCCGTTGACCCCGGCTCTCAGAAACCCAGATCAGATGATCTGAACGATCTTTGAGCTGGAATGGGTCAGAAGAAGGGTAGCCATTATAAAATCAAGGCCCACTATGCCCGTGTATGTCGGAAAGCTAAGAAAAATGCTCAGAAAACCAAACCTGTAACTGCAGCAATCAATTCACCATGGAGAGCTCAGTTATTGGTTGTAAATAATAATGGAAAGAAGAGACTTGTATTGGACTATTCTCAAACAATAAATAGATAGACACTACTTAGTGCCTACCCCTCACCAAATTTTGACCAGCTTGTCAGAAAAGTTGCTAATTACAACCATTACGGTGTCGTGGACTTACGGCAAGCGTATTATCAGATCACAATATGTGAAGATGAGAAGAAATATAGTGGTTTTAAAGCACTGGGTAAGTTTTATCAGTTCACACGCATACCATTCGGCGTGACTAATGGAGTTGCCTGCTTACAACATGCAATAGACCAAATAATAATTGCCGAAAATCTCACTGGAGTGTATTCGTACCTCGGTGACATTACTGTGTGTGGAATGGATAAAGCTGACTATGACCTGAATCAAAACAAGCTCATGTTGAGCCTCGATAAGCTCGGCATTGAAATCAACAAGGAAAAGAGTAAATTTCATCTTGCAAGCGTAAAACTTCTGGGATATACTGAGTCTCACGTTCCTTTTGGCGAGCACAGGGCCAGGGGTTAACCAAGACGGCAAGGTGACTCCACTGGCTGTGTGGTGAGGATGACTGAAAAAGCGTTCGTGGGGAGTAGAGTTAGTCGCTGTGCAAGCTAGAGAACGTATAGCGTGGAGGGGTTCCTTTAGGACCCTCTCCCAGTCCTCCGCCCTCAGTTCTTGAGTCGTCAGCCCGTATGGCAACAATGCCAGGCAGGGCGAAAAAAAAAAAAAAAAAAAAAGAAAAAAAGTTCTTGAGTCTTCAAAGAAAGACAAACGGTTCACCACTGAGTCTCATTGAGGCGTTCAATTTGTCCGTTTTCTGCTGGTGGCTACACTGTTCGAAAGGAGGAAGTCCTTGACTTCCCTAGACATGAAGGAAGACAAGAAGAAATGCTTTCCGATGTTTCAAGGATTCAACAATTGCTGCAGCCTCCTTTTCAATTGGTGGATGACCACTGATTTCAGATTTGTTTAATAATCTTGAAAAAAAAACGCAATCGGCCGTCCATCTTGACCAAGGGTGGATGCCAGTGCAAACTTGGAGGCATCGGTTTGCACTATAAACGCCCGCTTCATGGCAAGCATTTTCGCCTTATAACTGATCAAGAGGCTCTGTCTTTCATTTTTGACAGAAAGCGTGGAAGTAAAGTAAAAAAATGAGAAGATCACAAGATGGCTGCTAGAGCTAGCTCCATTCGTTTACGATATAACTTACCGGTGAAGACAACACCAAGGCAGACACTCTCTCCCGTGTCTGTAGTGCTTCCACTTCTACCAACTTTCTCCAGCTTCACCAATATTTGTGTCATCCTGGTGTTGTACGTATGTACCAGTGGCTCAAAATGTAAGAACATTCCCTATTCACTCGAAGATGTCAAGAAAATGACTTCAAGCTGTACCATCTGTGCTGAAGTAAAACCTAGGTATTTGAAAACTTCTGAAACCCTAGTAAAGGCCACCTCTTCATTCGGATGCATCAACATAGATTTTAAAGGGCCTCTTTCTTCCAAATCACCGAACTTCTACCTCCTCACCATCATTGACGATTATTCCCGTTTCCCTTCTGTATATGCCTGTGACGATGTTTCTGCCGCCACTGTGGTTGAGTGTCTCAAAAACCTCTTCTGTTTGTTTGGAATGCCAGCCTATGTCCACACTGACCGGGGAGCTTCCTTCATGTATAGGGAAGTCAAGGACTTAATCCTTTCGAACGGTGTAGCCTCCAGCAGAACAACCCCGTATATCCCAGCAAAAAACGGACAAATTGAACGCCTCAATGAGACTCTGTAGAGAACCGTTTGTCTTTCTTTGAAGACTCAAGGACTGCGGACGAAGGACTGGGAGAGGGTCCTAAAGGAATCCCTCCACGCTATACGTTCTTTATTTATGATAGACACCCAAAGTTTCGCCTGTTAAATAGTCAATAACTTCCGTAGTAGTAGTTACAGATTGAGGCCAGATCTGAAGACTGTTATAAGTTAAAACTTTTATTAAGTTCATTTTTCGATCGATTTATGCTAATTGGGAAACGGAATCATATTTTTTACAATGGATTGAAGTGATATATTAATTCTATGTATTTTTAAAAACTGGTGTTACCGCTGTCTTAGTAATGAAGCAGTATCTGATTCTACCTATCGTATACCATTAGCTTTAATTTAAAAAATGGAGGCCTATTAGCTGAAAACAAAATACAAAATAAGTTTTCTTTCTTCGACTAATATCTCATATTAATGCAACAATTACGTTAAAAATTGGTGATTATGACGAGAAAACGACATTAATTTGTGCGCTATTAGTATCACTGTGCGTTGGTTTCATTTCTAAATTTTGTTTCCTTGATAATCCTCTTCCTTCTTCTTATATGCTCATGTCATGGTGCCAAAACTACTGCTTTGAAGACAGTCATTATCTCCTTGGTTTTCCAAAGTTTTTCCTTGGTGGACCGCGTTATAAACTTAGTTTTTTACTTATTTGCACCCATATATACAAGTTATAAAAATAAAAACTTTTCCCACATTTTCGCAATATATTTTTCGTTTCGATCTTCGAGTTCCTGGCCTAATGTTCTTTAAATCAGCCGCCATTTTTGAAACCAGCGGCTCTGGAATGGCAGACAAGGTATGTTTTACTTATAATAACATACACTTTCGTAATTTACCTACAAACCATTACCAGCGAAAAGGTCACCTGTCACCTCTTTGGTCCTTGCTCCTTACTCCTTAGAGCTACTTGCCCATCATTCTTTCCGCCGTTGTAGCTATTCTCTTTGCTCTCAATTGACAATTCTTCCATGAACGGCACATTTCATATTACAAACAACAACAACTTAGTTGTAAATACTTGTTTTGGGGGATCGGATTAGCACCATCTTGTTACCGTGTTAAAAGTTTTACTTATTATTTTTCTAATTATTCGTTAATTCGAAATTATTCTACTTTCATCAGGGTTTATGAAATTTGTTTACATGAGTTATATGATATAATTTACCTTAGATATATTTGTTACATTGCTAATATGATAAGCAATTGATTTTAGACAGGATTAAATTTCCTGAGTAGCATGCAGGGTGACAGTGTTTATTTTGTTTATAAGGACTGGAATGGAATGTGAAAGAGTTATACCTCGTGACATACTTGATGATTTGTGCAGGTAAATAGTATGTACTAGATTTGTGCGAAATACTATCACCATTTAAATTTCTTTTTTTGAAATAAGTGCTGTATCTCTAAACTTTTTTTAAAAAGTAAATATAAGAAGTTGTAAGCTACTGCTGAGGAAATAAAAAATAATTTTTTAATTTGTTTATTTAGTATAATGTCTTTATGTACTGTAACTAGGATGAATAGGTTATTGGTTAAACTTTTACCCATAGTGTGGAGAAGACTTATTATTTGGGTTCTCCAGGAATTATTCCAAATTCAGAGGTATTACCTAGAGTGCTAATATATATGTAGGAATAAGTGGTAACAATGATTTTACTACTGTTCTATTGTTTTGTACTGTTATGATGGAATAATTGAATAAAAGTGTTATTTAATAATTATAGTGTTATTAGTGATCACCTCAGTTTGCAACGAGGATGGGATCCAATTGTGGTGTTCTTTCCTTAGTTTTCCATAAGTGGGTAGTCTTCCTTTAGGCATTCTTTTCAAATGTCCATACCACTTCAGTCATTTTTTCTCAATCTCTTCCATAATGGTTCTTATAGCCTCCATCTTTTCTCTGATAGTAGTATTTCTCACTTTATCCATTCTAGATATTCCCACCACTCGTCTCTAGTAGTCCCTTTCTGTGGCTAGAAGTTTCTTCCTGAGGTTGCTTTTTATGGTCCAAGTTTCTAACCCATATGTCATAATGCTCAGTACTATACTATTGTAGATTTTTTTGTTTGTTTTGGGGATAATGTTCTGGTTCCAAAATACCGAGTTGAGCATTGATATGGTCTTTTTGCCATCTGAAATTTTTCTTTTGATTTCCACATCACATGCACCCTCTAAATACACACAATAATCATTAAATATCACTTTTATTCTATTTTTCCTTCATATCAGTTCAAAACAATAGAACAGCAGTAAAACCAGTGTTGCTACTGATTCCTACAGTATAAAAGATTGTTGCCTTGCATAATTTAGATTTTATATTGTTGACCTTATGAAATTATTAGTATTACCTAAGAATGTACAAATTAATATGAAAGTTTTGGACTTCGTAAATGAACGCATTCCTACTTTGCAATGGACGATAGGGAAATATGTATAATAGGAGCATATGCACCAACGGACTGCAACTCTGTTGGCGAGTAGCACATATTCTGATAAGAATTGGAGGATATTATTGAAAAGGTTCCCAAGAGGAAGGAAATAGTATTCATTATAGACCTGGAGGAAGCGTATGACAGTGTCCCTCGAAGACTATTATGGCAAGCCCTCCAAAATGCAAACATTAATATAGGTCTGATAGATATAATAAAGGAAATGCGCTCAGGAAACACCAGCAGAGGGAACTAGTTATTAATGCAGCAAAAACGGAACACATCACATTCAATGATTAGGATATAAAACTGAATCCAGGAGGGGTTCTAAAAGGAATTAAACATTTTAAATATCTTGGTTCCATAATTGATATAGATGGTGCATGCGATGTGGAAATCAAAAGAAAAATTTCAGATGGCAAAAAGACCATATCAATGCTCAACTCGGTATTTTGGAACCAGAACATTATCCCCAAAACAAACAAAAATATTTAAAATAGTATAGTACTGAGCATTATGACATAAAGGTCAGAAACTTGGATCATAAAAAGCAACCTCAGGAAGAAACTTCTAGCCACCGAAAGGGACTACTAGAGACGAGTGATGGGAATATCCAGAATGGATTAAGTGAGAAATACGACCATCAGAAAAAAGATGGAAGCTATAAGAACCATTCTGGAAGAGATTGAGAAAAAATGCCTGAAGTGGTATGGACATTTGAAAAGAATGCCTGAAGGAAGACTACCCAAAGAAGTCCACTTATGGAAAACTAGAGAAAGAGGTTGAGGAGGAAGACTTTGGATTACGAAGTGGAGGAAGTGGACTATGATGGGTCATGGTCTATGGGAAGAATGGACCGTAGATAGGACATTATGGAAAGAAGCCAACCAAGCACTTTAGGTTAAGGAAATCCACTGTTGCTGAAAAGTCCTACAAAAAAAAAATATGAAAATCTAGACATAATCCTATACCCCTTACTTTTTTTTTTTTTTTATGTATAACCCTTAAATTTTTCGAATCTGACAACTCTTAATCCATTGCACTACTAGGATGGGATTCTTTGTATGGTAATAGTTTTTCTGACAGTGGGGGTGGTTAAAAAAAAAAAGAAATTGGATCTTTTACTGTTGCAGATTTCTTCTTAGAACACATAAATTTTTATTATAATATTCATAGTGATTCGTCTTCAGATCTTAAGTTTTTCTCTATTATTCTTAATTCAATGAATGTATCTAAAATTGGATTAATACTTTATGCTGTAGTAAGTCATTCCTCTGATAAATAACAATTTTCAGACCACTTTTTTTCGAGGCATATTATTAATAATAATTCTTTCGATTAAAATTACAGCTATTTGTCAAGAAGTAAACACTATTTCAAAATCTATATACTTTGGGTCAGTGATCACCATACCTACATTTTATTTTATTTAAGAGGTTTGGCAGTTAATAATTCTTATTTTTTTCTTTAAAAAGAAAATGTTTAAATGAGGTGAAAGATAATAATGGTTTATTCAAAGTATGCATCATCATTAGTTACAAAACCAAACATCTTTTGAGGTTGTCCAATTATCAAGTTATTTTTTGGCATCTCTGTAATCATTTAAATATTTCATGGAAAGTGCATGCGACATCGTTGAAAACAAGTGCTAGTCAGAAGGGGACAAGTCTGGAGAACACGGTGGGTGGGAAGTAGTGAGACAAGTATAAAAATGGTGTCTTTAACCGATTTAGCAGTATGTGATGGGGTGGTGTGGTGTAAAATTTTCTTTCCTTTTTGTCTTGTAGCACAAATGGTTCTTTTAAATTTCTCCTTAATATATTTACATAAAGGTGTTGATCAAGTTTTCAGCACCTTCAAGGAAACTTTAAAAAGTTTTTGTCTCGCTTTCAATTGTGTGGGTATTTGGCTAAACAAATTCGATTTTGTTAAGTCAGTAAAGATCTCTAATTTCAAAATATATATGTGAAACATTGTTTTTAGTTTATTTTCTTACTGAAAAACATAAAAATATTTGTTTGCATCTGTTTTTGGCATCCTCTTCCAAGTTTTCAGAATCCAAAAGTACTACTTTATAACCACTTTCTGGCTGTCTTCAGAATGAAAGAACTTCAATGATATTGTGCAAAACCGTTTATTTCATAAGTAGGTGTGTACAGAAAGATTTTTTATCTGGTCAGAGACTATAATAAAAAACACTTTATAAAAGTTATTCCATGAGCTTTTTAGTTATCGATTTGTCCAGAATTTAACTTTTCTACACAGCATCTTAATTTATTCTTCCTTGCATGATTAGAAAAAATGCAGATACATTTGGTGATTGTAGAAATCAAATTGCTTTTGTATGAAGTTCAATTAATATATATTTTCTTCGCGGTACAAATGACTGATATGATAAGTCATGTAAATGTGATATAACCCTTTAATGTAAAGGATGGCGGGTTTCGTGATATCCTTTTCATCCAGGAAAGGAACACAAATTTGGCTATACGTTAAAAAAAATGTTTTTATTCTTTATCCACCCTGTTTCTGAACAACTATTATCCTAGTTTTTAGGAACCAGGACTACAATTTCGTAGGGAAAGCTTAAACAGGTATAAACTAACAATGAATCACAAGCAGAAAAAAAAAAAAAGGTAAACATCAAAGTATATATATTAGGTAAATATCAAAGAATTGCTCTCTTTGATGTTCCGTGGTTTATTTCGTACACATTTTTTGTATTTTTATAAGCAAAAACTCTCTGTTTTTAGATAATATAAGAAATTTGCTTAATCTTGGTTGAAAATCTGTTCGGAATGGAGAAGAATATAGAAATTGCCTTCTTCCTTTAAGTATTCTTCGATGTTGTACATGTGCTGGCAGCAGTGACGACTTCAGGTATCCAGTAAGTAATAGAACCCGGATTGACTTGAAAATCCCTTCAACCAAGATTTACCAGGTTCTGATTTACCACTTCTGGAAAATATTCTGCTCTTTGCTGTTTTTTTTTCTGCTTGACTATCCAGTCAGTTACTCTTTCAAATTCTTCATCAGATTGGTATTTGTTTTTAATTTCAGACTTCTGTTGTTGGTTTTTATGATTTATTTTCTTATTTCTCAGTTGTTCATTTTCCTTGTGTAGCAGTTTTATCTTGTCCATTTATGGAGATCTCTTGGAGTGAATGAATATGCGAAAGTTGGCCCTCTCCAGAATCCGTAAGGCAGACCTCCATAGAACAGAGATGGGCAAATGCTACTCTGAGTACTGAGTACCAAGTATTTTACTCAAATACTTACCTTTTTTGAGTACCAATGAATTTAATTACTACTTCATTACATGTCAAACGATTAACTGAAATAGTGATTGAATTCCCTATAGTGATTCAATTTGATTAAAATATTTGCTACTCGGTACTCCGAATAGCATTTGTCCATCTCTGCTATAAAAGAGGGTGGATTTTTTAGGAATCCTGGTTTCCACCTGAGGTAGTTAATCTATTTATTTTATCTATTGTATGGTTTCTTCTTTGTAATTTATACCTTCTGCTTCGTTATCAAGCTGCTTCTCCACTGAGAACAGACACAAACCAGTTGGCTACCTGCTCTAGGTCAGATTTTATATTAGTGTTGGACTGCCCCAGATTTCCCAGTACTCGACTTTTTCAAGCATTTTCAGATCCACTACCTGGGGAAGCCACTGATAGGGGACTAGCTTCCTCCACTGGTGTAAAATTATGAAAAATATTTTATCAAGTTCAATTTATACTCTACCTATAAGTAAAGTTTGCTTTGATACTGCATATTACTTTCTGGGATCAAGATTCATAGAGTTTGTATTAGCATTGACAATAATTTTTTTTATTTATTATCTTGATGCAATCACATTTTCCTATGAATGCTTTCTGAAATTTTTATTTATGAATTAATGTTCAAATAAATGGATTCTTTTTATTATTTTTCTGGGGATCACCAAAATATTATATCTGATTTCTTCAACTTTTTTAAAAATCTATCTCAATTAATGATGTTATCTTAAGGTTTGGAAAAAAATATGTTCGTAATTTTTTTTTTTTTGTCCCCTCGTTATTTTAATTAGGTAAAATTAATTTTCTGATTAGGAAAACCCTAAAATCAAACCTTATTTACACTAGTAAACTAAATTAATGAGATAATTTCAATATATATATTCATTGATGGATCTGATGTATTGACATTTAACATAAACCTAAATATTGTTCACTTTTCAGCCGCTTCATCATTAATGTTCCTGATGAAGAAAGGAGAGACCTCATTAGAATATGTTTTCAAATAGAATCTGCACATTGGTTTTATTTGGATTTTTATAGTAAACATTTTCCTACAAAAAAACCATGTGGCATCAAGGAATTTGCTCAACAAATATTCAAGGTATTTATATTCTGGTTTATAAATATTACAAATATCTAGCTATAAAAAACTTGTAACTATATCCAAGGGTATATTTATATTTTTAACAAATAGTATAGGAAGTAGCCTTATAATATTTTAAAATTTATTTTATTTACAGTTATAATCTATCTACCTCGGATCAAATTAATTAAGTATTTAATAAGCTTACCAAATGTCTATTGTGAAATAAAGTTTAAACAAAAATCATTTTAATTTTACAAACTTTTTATATACCTAATGTGATCATAATTTAAATAATTAACATTTTATAACACTGCTTTCTTAATACCTTCCTCTCATGAAAAATAATAGTGTGGCTAGTAAATTTTAAAACATTATGTAACTGCTTATTGTAATATATTGTTTAGAATAAAAGTATATATTTATTTATTTGACTCAGCCAAATTGTAAATAAATTCTGAAATCATTAAATGGATTGCCTAAAATTGAAAAGAGACAGCGAGCAAGAGGCAAGAAGTGATAGTCTTTTCACACATGGCTTCCTATAAGCCATAGTCTACCTCGATCAGTCAGAGTTGTATTTAGATTAAAAACCGGACATGCTATCTGGACTCGCACCTCCATCATATACATGCTCTTACTTTTGCTTGTTGACAACTTGAGAAACTGCAGAGCTCTGAACTGCTTGAAAAAAAATAATTAAGTCCTGTTCATCCATGGATATTATTTCTTTGATTGATATATTAAAGAAATATACTTATCCCTCTGTTTTGTGAGAAGCTATTTTGCCCAATGGTCGCAGATAAGATCTAAAAGATAAAATTTAATCCACGCCAGCTTCGAGACTATCTCACCCCAATTCTTCCCACAGTCACAGAGGCATGAACAAGCAGACTGGAGGGTCGAGGTTCCTCTCAGTTAAGTAATAAGATGTCTATGCCAGCATAAAAGGGTAAGTCAATTTGCACAATTCATATAACCTACCACTTCATCAAAATACAGTCCATTGCATAAATAAGTCGAATGTTGCCTATTTTGAACTCATTAGAGTTGTTTGCCTTTATTAAATTAAAATTGAAAAGTTGCCTAAACACCATCTATTTATTATCCATATATGCCTTTCCTATACCAATCGGTTTAAACCACTTACGTTCTATCTCTGTGACCTCTATACCCGCTCTATCTTACAGAACTACAGGTTATGAAAGCTCCTTCACTGGCAGCTCCATTCGCTCTGGAAATTATTCTCAATATTTTGCATTACCTCTTCATTATGTAGATCCAAAGTCCTCTTTTACCAATAACATCTCACTATCCAAACAGACTCAAATAGTGAATATTTGAGATTGGGTTTTGATTCAGTTTTATCTTTGTAGATGACCCTATTTAAGGCATACAATTCCAAAATCAGCAAACTGTATTAGCTGATTTTTTTAAACTAACAGTATTGCTACTATGTACCACATCTTGTAATGAAATATATAAATACTTATAACAAAGTAAAAAAAAAAAAAAAAATACATTATTGACATAATCAGATAGCAGTCAAGGTGTTAACAATAAAAAGAAATTTCTCAAATAGCACTCCGGAAAATGTATCTTTAATTTTAACGGATCATTAAACAAGAGCTAACTTTGTTAAAACTTGGTATTTAGCAACTATTATTATAGATTATAGAATCTAATTTTATTAAATCTTGTGTAAGGTTCCTGAATCATTACAATATAAGTTTTTATTGGTATGTGGATTGTTACAGCACATTTTTGTTTTTCGTTGATTGTTGATTTTTTATTTTTAAAGACTTCAAAAACTATATTAATGTGTGTATATGTATTGTGTTTTTGTTTTGTTGAGATTATGTAAAAATCTATGAAATGTTAGCTGATTAGGTATGGAATTTGTATCAACCAACCAAGACCACCTTTTTATAAGAACCTTCTTTCTTTGACTTTTTAAAATTAGTTCTATACTTCTTGAAGGAGAGAAGTTGTTATTATAACTTCCTCCTATGTCCTAAAACTTAAGTATGAAACTATCATCTAGTTGATGTTTATATTGACTCTGAATTGAGAAGAAGAAATAGAATATTTCTATGCATTATATTAAGCTATATTAGTTCAAAAAATACATTTTTTGAATTTTTTTCTCCTATGTTCTTCACAGTGTTGACCATAGAAGATTATCCTCTTAAAGATGCTTGTAAACTATAACATACCTTTTTTCTTTAAATAACTTATTCAAGTAATAATTGACCTCTCCATTCTGTTTATACTTTCAAATTTTTCAACTAGGATTAGCCTTGAAATTTATTTTCAGCTGGTTGCCATAGAATAGCAACATATAGTCGTTTCTCTTTAGTAGGTAGGTATGACATGTATATTCTTGTTAATTTTAGAAGAAGAATTTAAAGAAATAATCTATGTTGGTAACAAAAACTGATATTTTTAATTTTAAAAATGTAGGTTTTGGTAATGCCTTTTTATTTATTTATTTTTTTTTTTGTTTTAAATCAAACTATTAAGAATACTGCATAGCGTATTAAGTGGTGTTATTTATAAATATATGTCACATATATATATCATAGATAAATTGATGATTTTGTATGCTCCACACATGTTTTTATTTAGTTTCAACAAATTAAATATTACAACAGATTATATTTGTGTTTAACACTGGTGGATCCAGATTATTTTAATTGATATTATTTTTTTTCTTTCAACATTGCCATGGTACACCTATTGGCTTTTTTCCCCTATGGAACTGTATATTTTTATTTATGCTTACTTACTTACTGCATGGCATTAAGAACCAAAGCTTTCTCCAATATCCTGCTCCATTCTACTTTATTTGTCGCTTTAGTTTGCCATCCCCTGATGTTCAGCTGGTTGAGGTTCTCTTCTACGTCGTCCAGCCATTGTTTACGAGGTTTACCTCTCATTCGTGAGCCATCAAGATGACCGTACAGCATTTGGCTAGGCAATGCCGATGTAGGCATCCTTTCGACATGTCCAAGCCAGCCCAATCTTCTTTTTTTTAATGACACTAACTATGTCTGCTTCTGGGAATAGTTCTTTCAGCTCGGAGTTCATTCTCATTGTAAACCCATCATCCTCTCGCACATGGCCAAATATCCTTCTTAGAACTCTTCTCTCCCATGTCCTTAGCCTTTTCTCGTTCGCTGCAGTCATAACCCAGGTTTCACTGCTGTAAGTTACTGGATTAAACTATTCTGGAGGAAAATTAAAGCCTTTAAAGAAATGTAAAGAATGAGAATGGGAAGGTGATCACGGAGGATAAAGCCATTCTGAAAGTCTGGCATAAATATTACACCAAGCAATTGGCGCAGATGATATGTACCCAGTGGACCCAGAAGGACAATGGAATAAGACAGAGTTTGACGAGGCGATAGAAGAGTATAAAATAGAAAGAAGTATCCTGAGAATGAAGAATGGGAAAGTAACAGGGTAAGATAATATAATGGCAGAATTTGTGAAATATGGTGGCCCTACAAGATAGTGAAAGCTTTAAAAGTACTCTATCAAAAAGCCTGGGACCTGAAGAAGATCCCAACTGATTAGGAATACAATGTCATCATACCCATTCATAAGAAAGGGTCCCAGGCCGAATGCTCTTATTATTGTCCTATATGCCCCTCACCAGTGGTCTACAAGCTTTATACGACTGTCCTGGAAGGAAGATTAAGGCCCTTAGTCGAACACCTTAATGGGGAAGAGTAAGCTGGGTTTAGACCAGGATGGCAAACTCAGGATCATATATTCTCCATAAGAAATATTCTACAAAAATTTTAGGACCGGAATAAAAACATATGGATGCAGCGCATTTAGGTGTATGCTCGCGCTTGTTGAACATAAGAGATACCACGTTTTCCAAATCGGAATGATACTGGGCTGCAAGATCTCTGGTGGCGGAAGCTGATAAAGAGGCATAGTTAAAAAAAAAAGTTATGAAACCATGTATTTAGCTTTCCTTGACCTGAAAGCAGCATTTGACATGGTTCCCAGGCATGAAATATAGGAGGCTCTTATAGCTAAAAAGGTTCCAAGAAATGAGTAAAGTCCTCCATGATGTAAAGTCCATTTATCAACACCCAAAGGGAGTTTGACATGGCTAGGAGCATCAAATTAGGAAATAGTTTGAGCCCATTACTGTTTCTAATTTATATGGATGAGGTGGCAGCCATCTGTAAAAGAAGAACAGAAAGGACATTCCTGGGGAGAAGAAAGCTACGTCCAGTGGTGATGCAACTTCTGCTATATGCCGATGATGTTGTCCTTGTCGCTGATTTGGCTGAAAAGTTGCAGCAAATGGTGATTGAATGGTATGGGTAACTCTACCAGAAAGGAATGCAGATCAATACCAGCAAAAGTAAGGTACTACAAGTAGGTAGGCAAAATGAAGAGACGCATGTACACTGCAATGGAGGGCAATTAGAAGTGGTCTCAGACCTAGGAATTGTCATAGAAAGATCGGAGAAAGTGAACTCCGAAATATCCAATAGAATAAGCAAAGCAAATGCAGTCTACTACCAGATTTGCAATACCGTAGGAAAGCGAGAGGTAGACAAGAACGTCAAGCTCCATATATTCAAATCTGTGTACCTGCCAATACTTCTATTCTGATCTGAAAGCTGGATATTGACAGACAGGCAAGATAGCAGAGTCACTGCTGCTGAAATGAAATATCTGCAAAGAACAGTCAGTACGACTAGGTAAGTGGGATCAGGTTTGTAAAGAAAGTGTACTCCAGGACCTGGGGGTTGCCTTATTGAAAGAGGTTCTGCAAATCCGCCAACTGAAATAGTTTGGCCATGTGATTAGGATGGAGGAACCCATTGAAGACGATGGACTATGCTCCAGATGGCAAAAGATCTCGAGGACGCCCAAGAATGTCATATCTGGAGTACATCAATAGACTCTGCAAAGGAAGAGGCAAAGATCTCCGTCGAGCCAGGAACCTAGCAAAGAACAGAGAAGAGTGGAGTTCGTGACTGCTCACCCCCTTACGCTGAGAGGCATAAAAGGGAGAAGCTAAAGAAGAAGTTACTATGGACCTAATTATAGTCTTATAAAGCAATACCTTAGCTTTTCTTGAGAGATTTTTATAATGTAGGGCAGAGCACATTTGATATAGACACCTATTCCTAGCAGCAACTCGAGCCTTTATGTCCTCTGTCATTTATTTATGCTTAGGCTCATGTAATCAATAATTCACATAGTCTGACATTATTTTCAAAAGTGAAGTTAAATTTATTTTTTAATGACTTTAAAACAGTAAAAAAAAATTAACACTTTTTTTTGTTTATTAAATTTAATTTATTTATTTTTTTAAACATGAGGAGTGTGGGACATATAACTCTAGTCATCATGTATATGTGTATGTGTGTGTATATATATATTTATACATTTTATTTTATTTTGTGATTTTTTAAGTAGCATCTGCCATTTCTTCAACCATATACCAACAATGTGGAGAAAATAATTGATGAGTGGAAAGATTACAAATTTTGTGTCCCCACTTTTGGAGCTATTTTGTTGGATGAAGATCTGTCTCATGTACTGTTAGTCCAGAGTTATTGTTCCCGATCATCCTGGGGTTTTCCTAAAGGAAAAGTAAATAAAGATGAACCTCCTTATCAGTGTGCAATCAGAGAGGTAGGTACCTTAGATATTTTATTTATTTATTGTTTTCTATTTACATTTTTAAAGTATTATTGATAAATCTAGTCAATATAATTTACCAATAATATAACTGGATAAGGTTGAAAAATTTATTTTATTTTATTATTTTTGTAATTATTCCTCAATTGTTAGTTTAGAATATTTTTTATTTTGTCAGCTTAAGGTTGATTGATGTTAATAGGGTGTATAAAAAAATAATTACTGTTTTTCAACCAAATATTTGTATTATTATTTCTTTGATACAAAATACAATTAATACTCAAAGTGTAGTCCATTATTATCTACCGTTATTAGCCTTCTGCTAGCCAATTGCTCGTTCCCACGCGGATACCATTCTTTGAGATGACTGTCAAAGTACTCTTGGACCACAATTTCAACTTCCGCAAAATTATCAAATTTTTTCCCTTGAAGAAAATGGGCCATGGATCTAAATAAGTAGTAATCCGATGGTACGAGGTCTGGACTATATGGTGGTACTATAAAATATCATATCAGAAAGGTTTTTTAATCAATTTTCACAAATTTCTAAAGCAAGTTCACGATTACTTGTAAACAGATTTGACTTAACAGCTTTCTGACGAATCTCATCAATATCCATTAATGGGCGCCCGGAGCCCTTCATCTTGGCAACGTTGTAACTCCACTGCTAAATTTTTCAAACAAATGCAGTGCAGTGCGCTGGTCAAGGACACCTTCCCCTTCATATTTAATAAATTCACGAGTTATTTCAGTGGCTGTGAATTTTTTTTTCCAGTGATGCCTTAAATTACGAGAATTTTGTAGGAAATCATCATATTTTTTGCAGAAGTCGATTGGGATTAAACAAGCTTAGAAAATGCTGCAAAGGGATTATTAAGTATTAAATAAGATTAAAATATTTACTGTCCTTTGAAATCTTGAATTTGACAAAACGGTCATTTTTTTTTTTTTATACACCCTACTAAATATCTGAGAAAATAAGAATGATACTTGATAATTGTCTTTCATTACTTTATTGTGTTTATAAATTATTATGCTTTTCAATTGGTTACTATTTATTGCTTTATTAAATTAAGTTTTATAAATCACTTAAATCCAGCCATCTTCAGGTCTGTGAGATTGCATATTTCTTAATGAAATGTTTTTGTTTTTTATTGAGCTTATTCATTGAATTTTATGGTAACTGCTAAATAATTATACTCAATCTTTCACTTTTATTTTGTACTGTTTAGCTTCTAATTCTTCTATTGTATTGATGTTCAGTTTTGCTGGAAGCAAATTTATTTCAATTTTTTTTTATCCAAATGAAGTAGATTTTCTCATTTTATGTATTTATTTTATGTATTACAATAACTTATCATGGAAACAGGGGTCTAAGTTGCATCAAGTGGTGGTAGGTTTCTTTTTATTTCTTGTATAGGATGTGTCTGAACATAATCCACATTTTCAACCTCAGCGTGCTCCCCCTCCCCTCTCTGGATCACTTTGGAATATCCCTAAAACGGATATATTTTTGCACTTTTTTGGGGTTTATCCTAAACTGGTGGTAAAAAAAAACAACAATGCTTTGTCGGGCTGTCCAGAGGTGCCAGGAGACAAGGCAATATGCCAGGAGGCCGTGATCAGGCCATCCAAGAGTGATAGGTCCAGCTGAATAACCTCTTCATTGCTGTGTAGACCCTCAGAAATCGCTACCAGACTTCAGTTGAGACTTCTCATCTATTGCATATTGCTCAGGGTGTGGATGTCAGTGCGCACACAGATAGGAAAAGGCTTGTTGAACTCAACCTGCACACTAGGATTCCTGCTTGCGGCTCTTTACTCACCACAGCATACCGAGAAGCTCACCTTCATTTTTGTCTTGAACACACTTCCTGGACAGAATATGATTTGGCCTCTGTTCTGTTTTCTGATGAGTTTGAGTATTAAGCATATTTAATTTAATTAAGCATCTTCAGGACTAGCTTAAGATGTCAATCCGTTGACAGCAGAAGCTTCCTTATGACCTCCAAGTAAGTGAAATGGATCAGATTTAAGATCAGGTAACCTTGTTATTAATTTGCCTACGAGATACAGGCCATTATTCACAAAAAGGAAGGCAACACTAGATGCCAGAGACTCAGATTTCATAATTTAAAAAGAATTAGATGTGTTTTATTTTTGTTTAAAAGAGTGCTCATTTTATTTATTTTACATAACAATTTTTTTAAAATGAATTTTCATTTTGTTTCCCCTTTATTTATGGTCTTCTACATGAAGACTATGTCACGCTATATTGAGACAAAGAAATTTGCAATTTTTTTTTCTGTTGGGAAAGAAATGAAAAAATTTAAGGTGTGCCAGTTTTCTCTCATCAGTGTATTTTGACCATGAAGGAGCACGTTTTTGACAAAAATTGCTCAATATATATTTTTAAATTAGATTAAATTTATTAATTTGAAACTAGAACAGGTTCAGTAAATGTAATAGGTTTCAAACTAAAGCTTTTCAAAATTCATCAAATTTTCCTAACTTGAAAATTTTAAGCTATAATAACCTATGTTATACGAGTTAATGAGATAAATATTTATTCAATTTAACATTTTGAAGGGTAGTGGAGGAGGAAAGTTTGGTGTAAGTGGGGAAGTTCTCTTTTCACAACCAAATGACTGAAATTGGAAATACAAAATTTATTTAAGAAACATTTGCATCAAGTTTGTTCAAAAAGTGTAAATGGAATGTGAATTAAAGGTGTTTACTTTGATTCAAATGACCATCACCAAGCAAATCCACTAATCTACCTCCTTCAGTGCCATATTCATCATCCTGGACTTACTGAAATGGAATGGAAATATTTATTTGTTTGAGGTAAAACCTTGTCGCAAGGTCAAAAATTTGAATTTTACATCTCAGTCACATCTCCTACATGAAAAAAATAAAATAAACCTACCGCCACTTGATGCAACTTATGATATACAAGGTTACTGGACCAATTTACATCATATTTCCATTTATCAACTGTATATTTGTATTTTCAGGCTATTTTATGTTTATATTGAATTAAATATTTTCATTAGTATATATTTCAATTTTTAACTATCATTTTATTTTTTATTTATAGTTACTGAAGTATTTTGATTTGAACATACTGACCTTGAAATGCTCTCTTTTCACTTTTTTCTTTCCATTCATGGCTAATTTGTTTTGAAATGTTGAATATTCACTTCTCTCTTAAACACCTTTGAATCATGTTCAACCAAATACTTTTCTGTAAAGATCACTTACCTCTAATATCCTGTTCTACTTCCATCCTATGACAGTCATAATTCTCCTGGGATCTTCGATGAACTGGATATCAAACTGAAAAGATAATATGTAGTTTTTCTATGATTTATATTTAGGGTACTCAGAGATACTCAAGTTTCACACTATTAAGCCAAGTTGTGGTGGCTTTTTCTGACCACTGCTTCCTTGGTTAAGATAAATATAAAAAAAAAACTTACTATACAATTGAAATGATTTAACTATATTTTGATAATTTCAACCTGTTTTCCAATTGTTTTTTGATTATTGATAATAGAAAATGTTTGTATTTTTGAATCGTTCAGTAAAAAAATTTCCAGTTAAGTAAAGCCACACAACTGTATATTTCAGTCTTATATAAAGTTAAACAAATATTAATTATTTTCTGTGTATAGCAAAGAAAAGTATATCTTAATATAATTGTTTGAATGAATTTTCTCAAAAATAATTTTATTCAATTTTCATTTGAAGTTCTTGTATTGAAAAAATATAATGTTTATTAAAACAAAAATGTGTTTCTAGAACTTTTTGGATAATTAAAGCTATTATTATAAATATAAATTATGGTTACCAAAATTATTTTATCTTGAATATTGGTTTTATATTTCTTAGTTCTTTTAAGTATACTATATATCTTAGATTGTTAAGTGAAAGTTTGTTTTACTCTTATATAATCCATCTTTTATAGATTATTAAAGTTTGTAACAATGGAACAGTCATAATTATTACATATTGAAAATAGGTGAATTGTAATTATATAAATAATACATTGTGATTGCTTCCTGAGTTCAATTCGCAAAAATACTTCTCTTAGAACCCCTACCTTTTACATGACGCTCAACTAAGGAAAGAAGTATAAACGATATTCAATATGGCACCTAAAAAGAGTCTCAGAAATCGTACCATCTCACGGAAAACAACCTCAAAGAGATACTTTCATCCACTGCGGCAACCACTTATGAAGCTATTAAAAGCTTTAATGAAGCAAGTTGCCCGAAAGGAAGTCTCCTAGATTGCTCGTTTCGTTTTGATGGATCGGTTCATATCTGATCAAACTATACAAAAGAGACAAGAATGTTGAAGAAACCAGTGCACTTGCAGGTCCACCACATCTTTTATCCGGTATAGCTGTTGACTGGTACCAAGGTAACTCAAATTGTATAACATCTTGGTCGTTCGCAATCATGTTTCTCAAAGAAATATTTAAAGTAATCCAGGCTCCCTATTTAACGTTTCGTCAGATTTTTTTAAAACCACAGACTGACCCAAACAAAACATCAGAATATATTTTTCAATTCCATAAACATATATCTTTACTTCCATACAGTATTAGTGTCGATATGCAAATTGATATTCTTTACGCTCTATTACATCCTTGAGCAATTCAACAATTTTCAAGAGAGTCAATGAGCAGTTTACAAAGCCTTATTAATCGCTCAAAAATTCTAGAATCACATGAATCTAAGTATAAATTCATAACTAAAAATAATCGCGATTCCAAATGCAACTTCTGCCACAGGTTTGGAGATGGTTACAAAGAATGCCAAAAGCGGTTGACAAAATTTACACAGCACACCTTGAGATTGATAACCCCGTCAATAAAGAGGTATAAAAGTTCACCAGTGCAGATGATGCTTCAGATTTAACTGATTACAACAATGCTATCACAATGAACGAAGGAATTGATATTAATTTTCTCATAGATTACATCAGCTATTATACGTTACTATCGGCATTCTAACAGAAACTGCATTGTTCAACACTGGTGTTAAAAGTAGAATCATGAACGCTTCAATGTTTTCTTAACTACCAAGCGGTCTAAAAAAAATCTGAGACTATCCTTAACACTTGCTATTCAACAAAAATTCTCGAGGCATTAACATTTGAAGTCGAACTAAACGTTAAAGGTCGTAGAGTGAAACAAAATTTGGTATACTTTAACGGTAATCATAACACTCAAACCATATTAGCCATAGATTTTATTTGCTCTGTTAAAATGGCAATTAATGCAGCCAAAAATTCTTGGCATTTCTGTGATCAACCACTCAAAACTTATCTTTATGATAAGGATCAAAAGATCCTTTGCTGATATATTACCTAACAAAAGTTAGGTAATATATCTGTCTGAGATCTTCAGCTCTGTTCCAATGAAGAAATACTCCTCACAGAGATCCAAAGAAATCTTCTTTCTAATACTCTAAACAAGTATAAGAATATCTTAAGATATTATACTCAATATAACTCAAAGAAGGTCACTCACCTTCCTTGGTACCTCCCTACAAGATGAGTTGCCCAAAAAAATATATTCTTAGCACTGAAATTGATAATATGTTAGCAAACGATATTATCGAAGAATGCAATCCCCATTTGCTGCTTCTGTCATTTTGGCTCCTAAACCTAATGGTAATGTTAAAGTATGCATTGATTACCGCAAACTCAATGCCATAACTATCCCTGATAGATACCCAATGCCTCTCATTAATGACATCCTACATTCAGCAAAGAAATCAAAATACATGTCAACCTTAGACCTCCGATCTGGGTACTGGGAAATAAAAATGAGGGAACTCGATAAAGACAAGACTGCATTCAGCAAAGGAATCAAAATACACTGGGAAATAAAAATGAGGGAACTCGACTGCATTCATCTGTCAATGCACCTCAAGGAACATTCAGGTTTCTTCTAATGCCTTTCAGCCTCAGAAACTCTGGTGCTATATTTCAAAGACTTATCGATCAATTTTGATCCTGTTTGCCAGAAGTCAACATGTTTGGATATATAGACGATCTCATAGTAATATTAAAGTCTTTCAATGAACAGATAAATGACTTGGAAAAAGTTTTCTGCCTTGGAATCTATAAAGTTAAAGTGAACCATGAAAAAAGCGTATTCTGCAGGGAATCGGTTAATTATCTTGGTCACTTAATCACTCCAGCTGGTATTAAGGCCGATCAGTCTAAAAAAATCACTATTTCTCAACTTCTTCCTCCAAAAAGTCTCAAAAAGCTTCAATCATTCATCAAGACTTGTTCATGGTTTAGAAAATTTATAAGGAACTTCGCAGCAATAGCCGAACCACTCACAAGATTAACTAAGAAAGCAGCTCCTTGGCCATGGAAAATAGAGCAACAAAACTCTTTTGACCAATTAAAAAGTCTACTGACATCTGCACCCATACTTTAACAAATAGACAAAGACAAACCATTTATCTTAAGGACGGACGCCAGTGATTACGCAATTGGTGCTGTGCTTGTCCAATCACATGATGGTGAAAAACACCCGATCGAATATGCTAACCACTTGCTCACTTCTGCTGAAAAGAACTATAACGTTACTGAATGCAAAGCTCTTGCAATTGTCTGGGCTACTGAAAAATTCAGAGGTTACATCGAAGGATCAAAAGTATCAATTGGATCGGACCATCAACCCCTAAAATGGCTTATAAGCTTAAGATCTCCTTCAGGAAGATTTGCAAGGTGGGCTCTTCACTTGCAAGACTTTGATCTTGAAATCATATACACTCCTGGTAAAGCTAATGTCATAGCCGATACATTATCTTGGCCACCTATCCATGCTATAGTATATGGGCACAACTCAAACATACAGCAGACTCAAATTATTATAGCAACATTACCTCGAAAATCACTTTCCTTGATAAGAAAAGAGCAAATAGATGATCTTGAATTAGCGAAGATATAAAGAATTGTGTGGAGTGTCAACGTTTCAAGCCTACTAATCAGATGCCTCAGGGTCTCATTCACACTAGACCATCAGCAGAGCGGTTCAAAATGCTGGCAGTCGACCTTTACCGACAACGAATGCTGGAAAAAAATGGATCCTTGTAACAGAAGATATGGCTTCATGTTGGATTGAGTTGTTCCCGCTAAAAAATGCTGTATCAGCTGAATGCGCAAAAACTCTCATTAACGCAATATTTCTGAGATAGCCTGCCACATTTAATCATCTCAGATAGTGGAACACAATTTATCAGCAGGTTGGTGAAACAGGTTTGTTCCATTTTGCGCATAGACCAGAAATTCACGCAACTTAGTCAACCTGAACCCAATCCTGTCGAACGATGGAACAGAAACTTAAAAACACAGGTAGCAATATAAGTGAAAAACCATCTTAACACATGGAATTCTGAACTCCCAGCAATCAGATATGCTAGGAACTCTACCCAATCTGAGAGTACTGGTTTTACACCGATACACTTTACTTTCGGATGTGAGTTACGATCAACAATTAAAATAGAACATCCTGCGAATTATCCAAACAAAAGTTACATTAGTTCCTGAATTTACTCCTTTTCTACTAAACTTCGGTAAGACTCTCGAAATGGCAAGAAAAAAAACAATCAAAACTCAAAACAGGCATAACACTTACACCAACCGAAAAAGATGAGTAGCAATCGAATACCTTCCAGGACAATATGTATGGGTAAATACTCACCAATTGAGTTATTCAAACAAAGAAGTAACAAGCAAGTTTTACCATGACGGGACGTCCCTATGTCATAAAAAGGTTGGGAAACAACACATACGAAATAACGGACCCAAAAAGAAATGGCCTAATCTTAGGTTGATGGCATTCATCTTAACTTACCACATTCCACAGAAGAGATCCTCAAAATATACAGCCACAAAATCCGAAATGAGCACAAGGTCGGCCTCGGAACATAAAATTAATATCCACGAACTCTTCCTCAAATGATCCTGCTGTCAGACCGAGGACAGGCACGGCCAGCAGAGGGGGAGTGTAATAACAGTTGTAATAATAATTACATATTGAAAATAAGTTAATTGTAATCATATCAATTATATATTGTGATTCTTCCTGAATTCATTTCACAAAAATACTTCTCTTAGAACCCTAATTGTTAAAATTATTATTTTTAATAATACCATTAGGGATGTTCCGGACAGACAACAGTTTGTCATATTTTATTGACTATTGTTCAAGTTTTTTTATGATATGTACTTAAATCTTGCTTATTGATCAACATGTCTTTCGATTTTATTGTAATAAATGTAATTGTTTCATTTGTTATAAATAATACATCATTTAAATTTAATCTAATAATATTTTTGTTTGTTGTAAAAATTTCCATCATTTTCTGATTTCTAGGTTTATGAAGAAACAGGATTTGATATAAGTAATTTAATTAATCCTAATGAATATATCGAAGCCAATGTAAATGACCAAGTTGTTAGATTATATCTTATACCTGGTATTAATAAGCAAGAAAAATTTGAACCTAAAACAAGAAATGAAATAAAAGCTGTAAACTGGTTTCCTATTTGTGATATTCCTAGTAATAAAAAACAAGCTACATTAAAACTTGGTATTGGTGCTAATACATTTTTCTTGGTATCTCCATTTTTAAGGTATTTATATACTATTTATTTCCCTTAATATTTATCTGCTTCAGCTCCTAATCTGTTGTGAATACATTTTATCCATTCTCTACTGTCTATTTTGGATTTTGGAAATCAGACATTTAAACACTGTTAAAGAACATCAATAAGAATGAGACCTACATTATATTAAAAACCGCTTACCGCTTAATTTTACACTGATATAATTAATTTAATCAGAATCGTTAAAGCCTTTTTCGAGAAAATTGAAAAAATATGTAAAATCGATCATATATAGTGGCACTTCCAGTTTGCAGACTTTGAAGAAAAAGTTGCTGTAACATCCCATACATGTACAAACCTTAAATATGTAATTTCAGTTATGTACAACTTTTCCTTTTTGAGCGAGGCTGTTCACATACATACACACACACACACACACACACAAAAAAAAAATTTTGGAGGACTTAGTTATTTGGACACAGGGGACCTCAAAACATGTATTTCCATTGAAAACTCAGATTCGAAAATTTTCACTATCGCAATACTTTTGCTTACTAGAGAGGTTGTCCCGTAAGTAGAGGGGAATATTTAAATGATTGATAGTTTATGTAAACAATTGCCCAATTTCAAGCAGAAAGTAAAAAATCCAAGTTTTATGTTTTTTAAAGAAGTCATTTTTTTTTTTTAAATAGGAAGCGATAGCTCAAGAAATATTCAATTTAAGTAATTAAATATTGCTCCATTGTATAATAGCGAAAATTTACTTTAAATGAGAGTAGAGTTTGCCATTGTTAAAACCGTTTAAATAGGACTATTGAGCGGAAAAACTCAGCTAAGTTCTGTTTAAAAAAAGTCATAAATTATTTGTGATTTTTTTTATCACCCTTCAACTTTACTACAGTTACCCCATTTTTAGAAAAAAATTCCCGTTTAATAAGCATATTAATGAAGTTGAGTTTTAATAGGAAAAATTTTGAGATTCACCTCAAGTTGTGTAAAAAAAATGATATGATTTTCCATCTAGTCGCCTATAAGTACCATACATATAGTGTTTTCAGCAAAAATCACTACAAATAACTGTTGCAAAGCTTTTATTTCTTGTTTTTCGGTGATATGGGATGTATTTTTATAAACATAATTGACTAAGTACACATTTATTTATAAAAATATAAAGTATGGTTTTTCATGTAAAGTGGTTATAAAACCGTGTTTTTCTAACACATCTCTGTCATAGACTTTGATCTGAATTTGTAAGTGACAAATGTAATGTTTCTTACTAAAATTAGCGTTTAAAATAAAGAACCATGCCCTGATAATGACCCACATTTTTGGGTTGAAACATCGGCACAAATAAAAAAAATTTATAGTCACTGCGTCCTGTGTATTTATCACCCATTAAAATAAAGAAACTTACTGATTCTTCAATTATTTTCATGACAACGTAACTATTAGGACTAGAAATATTATGATTGTCACTTATAAATACACATTAGTTCCTATGACAGAAATCTGAAAAAAAAAAAACAAAAAAAAAACACATTTTCATAACCACTTTACAAAAAAAATATTTCAAAAATCATAATTTTTCAATTTTTTATTTTTATAAATAAAATGTTTATTTAGGCAATTATGTTTATTACAATACATCCCACATTACAGCAAAACAAGAAATAAAAGTTTTAATTGTTGTCATTTTTGCTGAAAACATGGGTACTTTTAGGTGACTTGGTAGAAAATCACATCATTTCTTTCCATAACTTTAGGTGAATCTAAAAAATTTTCCTAATAAACCTAAACTTTTTTAATATGGACTTGAAGAATATTTGGACAGTTAAAGAATAATATAAAAAAATCACAAATAATTTATGAATTTTTTACACAGAACTTAGCTGTGTTTAGCAGCTCAATAATCCTCTTTAAGTAGTTTTTATAATGACAAACTCTACTTCCGTTTAAAGTAAATTTTGTATAGTTTACTATGGAGCAATGTTTAATTACTTTAATCATATATTTTTTAAGTTATCATTTTCTATTCAACGAAACAAGCCTTATAAAAGACAAATCTTAAATTTCATAATTTTCTACTCGAAATAGGGCAATTGTTTATATGAACTTTTTTGTAGATCTTGATGTCTACTATCAACGTTTTAAATATTTTCCTCTACTTATGGGACACCATATAAGTGAAAGTAATAATAAGAGAAAAAGGAATACGTTTTTGTCTCTCAGATCTCTATATTTATTTTTGAGTAGTTTAGTTGATAATGTGCATTAGAATTTTGTACTCTTTTTTTATTATATACAATAAAGCTATGATGAATACTATGTAAAATTTAACTTAAATCTTTGGTTTACGAAATCTCAATTCTATAATACTTCTTATAATTCTACCTCTGAGTATGGGACTAAAATATTGAAATATTAAATATACCTGAAAATCGAAGACAGTATCCTATTAATATTAGTTTTATCATCTAAAAATAATAAATATTTATCATTTTATAAAAATCCTAGAAAAATAAATGCTTGATGCTTTTTAATCCACTGTTATTATAAAATATAATATACATTTTAAAGGTAAATTTAAGAACAACAGGTTCTATTTGAAATATTTTCATCATTAGGCTGAGGAAATATTTCTATTAAATGATGATAATTATATGAGATTTAAAATATTTGACATTTTCAGCTAATCATTCTGACGCCATGAAATATAAGTAAATCTAATCAAAATGGGTTATATTTTGAATATTACTTTTATGTTACATTAAAGAAAACATATTAATTTTTTGTTATTGAAAAACGGTAATTTTTTTTTTCATAGCCTATTAGCAAGCATTATAACTTTCAAGAAGTATTTTAGTTATTATTATTTTAATTATTACTATGATTTTCTATGTGTGTCAAAATTTATTTTTAGAAGACTGAGACAGTGGATTTTTGACCATAATCATCGTTTTCCTACAAAGCACTTTCGTAGACAAAGACACAAATCATGCAGTGACATAGATTGTATTAGGTATAAAGCAAGTGATTTGAATCTTAAAGATAGTGTGGCTATGCTGAAAAGTTTGAAGGTAAAAAAACACTTTTTTTTCTTTGAAAATACACTGTTTTGATAATTTATATTTGATTTGTATACAAAATTTATCTACAATCGTTTTCTTATTGTAATGGTATTGTGCTCCAATCCAATTAGATTTTTATAATATTTCCACACTTTCTATTGGATATTGTAATAGCTTAATAATTTAAGATCTTCGATAGTGACATTATTTCTATTACTAATCTTGTTTAACTTTTTCGAAATCTTGTAGCCTGGATATTTTTTAAAAAAAAAAGTCTTATATTTTTTTTAAATTAAAAAAACACCTGTACCACTACAACTCATGAAGTGTCTTAGATTCAGTACTTTGTAAGAAAGTACTGTTCCAAGGCCAACTGTTATGCAGAGAGCTGATCAGGACGGGATCACACTTAACTGCCAGGTTTTTCCCTTAATTAATTATTAGGTACTCCCTTTCCTATTAAGTACTTCTATTTTATTTTCAAAGAATCTCGAAGTTCTTCAATTACATAGACTAACAGTAGTTTTGGTGCTAATTTCATATGAATTTGGTATCCTGATAGTTTTTGTCTAAAAGGTCAGATTTCTACGATAAAACATTTTAGTGAAATTTACATTTTACATTATTAATTTATTATATCGTAATATGTTATTAATTTGAATACCATTCAACACCTCGGAAACTTCTATTTTGTGACCTTCTTGAATATATCTTGGAACAATCGCTTTCTAAACTCCAGCAATAATCTTCCAAAAAGAATCTTTATATTTTGAAATATGTTAAGTTAATATATGATTGTAAATTTAAAAAAAAATTTAGACTTGAAAATGGCTCGACGAGCTGAAACGTCGTAATTGTGATGTGTAATCATTAAGTTGACAAAATTTAAAAATTGGTGTAAAAATGGGCTGATAATAAATAAACTTAAAAAGAAAATAATCTTCCATTTTGTGCACATACCATCTTCCTTGATAGCGGTCCTCCATAATTTTAATGTCTTCATTAATCTGTCACCTTTATATCGCTCCTCTCTGCTGTATTCTAAATTTTCAGGAGAAAGTTGCAGGTGGCTGTATAAATAGTGTTGGGGCCAGGGGTACTTCAAAGGAAGTACAAATCTTTCTCCGGTGCGTTTCCTCAATGTTGGGGAAAATTAGAGTAAAATTAAAAATGTTGTGAAAGAGGGAAAAAAGAAGAATAAAATGAGACCTGTAAAACATAAAAAATGTGCATGCACAAGAAAATATTAAAAAATAAAAATATTCAATAAATAAAAAATGGAAAATAAAAAATCCCCTTTTGAACGTTTACAATTTATTGAGTAAAAAAAGATCTAATTAAGTACAAAAGTTAAAATAAATATTGGTGTAAAGTTGCGGGAAAAATAAACCATAAATATAATATGCAGAAAAAATAAAAACAAATTAACATTAGGGAAAACATATATAAATAAACCCAACTTCTAAAATTATAAACAAAATCAAGAGAAAGAAAAATAACTGTCCAAAATAACAAAACTAATTTATTGAGAGAACCGAAAAACAACTTAATGTTCAAATGTCTTGGTGAGAATAAAAACACAAAAATATGAGCCAGGTTGGAGGTTCCACCTGGTTACCTTTCGATGTCTAGCTGTCAAGAAATCGATGGTGGGGTGGTATCAATATGTATCGATCTCGATCGATTATTCAGCTGTGCCCAACAGTTGATCTTCGAAAATGGCGCTAGACTGGTGAGTCAAGGTGCACCTGGAGCAGAAGGGGGGGGGGTAGCCGTCCACTATGTGGATCCAGTGTCATCAAAAGCCAGCTCCAGACTTCCGAAAAAACAAATACTAGGCCGGTGGGGTTTGAGTTAACTGGAGCGGCTGGTGGGAAGGTGAGAGAAGTTGTCCACTACGACCCAATAACGAAGGCTCGCTCCAGACTTCCGAAAAAACAAAAGGGCACTATACTAGGCCGGTGGGGTTTGAGTTAACTGGAGCGGCTGGTGGGAAGGTGAGAGAATTTGTCCACTAAGTAGACCCAATGACGAAGGCTCACTCCAGACTAGCTTCGGCCGTATTTTGATGTCTTAATCCCTAAGTCAGGGTATTACTGCCGGGCTGGAGCGTATACACACACGTGGTAATACATCGCAAATGAAGCCAAATATACAAATACTATAAAGCTAAATACATTTTTGAGACAATTGTGCCTCAGTTTTTTACCAAAAAAAATAAATAAACATTTTATTGTTAACACTAAAAAAGGGGTAAATGGTGAGAAGAATAATAATGAAAAAATTAATGATATATGTCTATGCGTTGTTAACAAATAGTGCACCTTATTAATCATGTTGCACCCAAGGGATTTGGAATTTTTAAGCATAACATTTGCCAGTTCAACATGGTTTTCTGCTTTTTCTTAGCCCAGAAAATAATATAAAACAAATGAAGTCCAGGATTTTTACTCTGCCTCATTCATGGAATTTGCGAAGGCTTGGTCCTTAATGAATTTTCTTATTTCTAGCCATTAAATATTCCGGCTTTAATTTTTCCTTACTCAAGTGAGGCATGTTTTCACCTATAAATTCAAAGCATGATCCATCCTTGTCAAGAACATTTACAAACTGCTTCATAAAGCCCAGCTTGATATGCAGTGAAGAAAAGGTGATTTTCTCTCGTTCAACTAAGGGTTCATTAATAACATTATTTTCTCCAACGACCATGTCTTCTCTCTTAGACCACTGTTATCTAATCCAGTGGTGTGTTTTGTCTCGGCCATCCCAGAGGCCCAAGAAACAAGGATATTTGGTGTGGCCACTTTGCTATCCATGGAGAAAGTATCTTTAAAGTTGACACAAATCATCCATTGATGTTCATGATACCTTATCTTCTCCAAGACTAAAGCTATTGTTCTATATGTTTCTTTGATTGTCATTCAGTGAGCAATTGGTATTGGGCCATATTTCTTCCTATTGAGTAGAAGAACACATTTCAAGCTTCCCTTTGAGCTATCAATAAATAGGCGCCAATCATCTGGAAAATATTCAGGAAGACTCATTTTTCCAGGTGTCTTCTAATGTCATGAAAAAATACAAGATTTTCTTCTTGAGATAAGAATGGTAGTAGACCCTTTTCTCTTGTAAAAAGTAATTTTTGTTCCTTGTTATAGTAAATTCGTATCATTCAAACTGGTAGCCAGTAACTCTGAAGCTTCTTTTGACAGGTTAAGATCTCAGATGAAAACTTATCCTGGTTGAAACATTGAAGAATTGTTGACATCCCCTCATAGTCACTGTGATCTTTATTAGTACTGTCGAGATATCTGCTGAGTTTTATCATTAGCGTCACAATTCTCACAGAAATTAGAAATAATCTGTTAGATAGCCCTGTTTATCATTAGTCCTGCAAATATAGACAGTTTTGAAAAATTCACAACTCTTGGTTCCCACAGAATTTAGAAATAATTTGTTAAGATATAAAATTCTCAGATGGAGGGACCACCATATCTTATCATTGACTTTTCAAACCTTTACCTTTTTACTTTCCCAGATGAATAGAACCCTTTCCCTTTTTGATGTCTTCATCTAGCCTTTTTAAATGCCTACCCCTAAATTTTCAAGGGCAGTTCCATTCTAGTCACATACTTCGGCAGCTCTCTCTCCACGGCAACCATCACCAAACCATTGTAAGTAATATTCAAATACTCTTGTAACCTCAATTCAATCAATAACTCTTTTAACTTTAGCTTTGATACAACATAAGACTAAGGGTCTCCTGTGAGATTCATCCCTTTGGATGTGACCTTTAATAGTTATATCAAGCTAGAGGAGCTTCAGTGTAGATTTAAATAGACAAGTTCTAATCACGTAAATAAAGATCATTTTAGTCAAAGTGTATTCATCCTCACATTATTTAAAGAATTGGGAAGATCCTTAACTCTTCACTCTGGTGGCAGTGATTATTCATTTCTCATTGGAATTTAACCTTTTTTACTGTCCAAATACGACAGAGGGTTGAAATTTTGGTGACAGCGGTGGGATAGCAATAGCTTGTTTTGGTGTGATAATGCTTAAATATTGCAAAAACCCTTTGGATAAAAGATTGAATTGTGAGGTTGGAAGTTATTTGAATATTTCTTATAGGTTCTCCTATTGGACATCTCAGGTAAATGGTCATTCTTATAATTACATAACCGTTGTTTTCCCTTATTTACTAACATACCTAACTCGGCTAACAGTACAAATACCCAAACTTAACCAGTACAAATCCTATTCAATTTCATTAAACCTTTTGATGAAAATCCTAGACATCCTTTATTCAAAATTGTGATAATGCCTTCCAAATAGTGGCAAACGAACAAAAGGAGCACCTATTTCTCTATAATGTTTCACAACTATCAAGTTGTGTAATTAATGAATTAAATTTCTCCAAAATCACTAACTGGAAAGAATCGAAAGATCATTTAATAAGTTCTTGAAGGAAGTTAGTCAACTGTTCTACATACCATGGGTGATAAATATTCAGGACGTAGTCTTTTTTAAAATTTTGTTTTTTGCCAACATTTCAACCCAAACATGTGGGTCATCTTCAGGGCGTGGTTTAAGCACTGAGGGTGTTCGAGTACTTGAACACAGTGGTTTGAGCACTGAGGGTGTTCAAGTACTCGAACACCCTCAGTGCTCAAACCACGCCCTGAAGATGACCCACATGTTTAGGTTGAAACGTTGGCAAAAATAAAAATTTTAAAAAAGACTACGTTCTGAATATTTATCACCCATCATTTAATAAAATATCTAATAATAAATAAATAATGGAAAATCTAAGGACATTACACAACTATACGAAAAACTTGAAATCAAACAAATGCCCAATGAATCAGTAACAAACTTCTTTAAAAGACTTGATAAACTTAAAACTAATTGCATAACAGCTGAAGTAAATAACTGCACTAATGATAATTTAATAGGAGGTGTTAAACTCGCGATTCAAAATACAATCCTAAGACGGTTCATCCTCCATTCTA